TTTGGCACGTAATTCCTTCCACATACTTTCACCTAGAAGGGCCATTGAGGTATCAAACTGTTTATCTCCTTAAGGACATGTGTGCTTGTATTTTTATTGTTTGTAACATTTATACTTTTTAAACTATTTAGCTTTTTTCAGTAAAATTTTGCCAATTCAAATGAATGGGAAAAATTTTCACATCTTAATATCTTCAGCATACCTTGGGCTAAAAACACAATTTCAACTAATAACTATTCATCAGCTCTTTAGCTATTCATACTGTAAACAGCTTTTTGATATTTTTTATTTTTTGCATAATTACCATTTACATTTTATGTCGCATTTCAATATCCACACTCTAGTATGTCTGTGTTTAGGACTACTCTTTCTTTCTCATACACACAGACATAGACACACAAACACCTACACACCTAATTGTTTTACCTACTTTATGGGGACCAATCGGTAAATGTTCACATCTTAATAAGTTCAGTATACTTTCAGCTACAAATGGCATGTATTTTTTTTTCAACTTTCACAGTTTTGAAAATATTCAGCATTTATTTTGACCAGTTTTGCCGCATTCAAATAAATGGGGAAATTCAACTTCAGCATACTTTCAGCTATCAAAATGTTCAGGTCTTCAAGGACATTCATGTTTCTCTTCATAACTTTTCTAAACTTCATACTTTTAAAATATTTAGCTTTATTTTGGAAATCTTGCTCCATTCAAATAAATGGGGAAATTCCAACTTCAGCATACTTTCAGCTAGCAAAAGCATTTAGGTGTCAATGTTCAGCATTTTCAGGGCGAGTTTTCAGCACTCAGCATCCATATGCATTTTCTTCAGAAAATGCTATTTCCTAGTTTCTTTAATTGTCCTCTGCTGCTATGTTTAGTGATGAGGGTTTGAATGTCCTTTCTTTACTATCAATGTTTAAACATGGCGGATGGGTTTTATTTTGACTTCTAAATAGGTCTGCAGCTAATTATGTTGAGAAAACAATCTCATCAAGTTCCATTTAGTAGCTTTTTTGGAGCTTTCGATCGCATCATACGGTCTCATTTGTCACAGAGCATCTGAAAGCTTTTTGTCCACGCTGGCACAAGGTGAAGAAATAACTTAGGACAGGTGACACATCTGGCCCAGATGTCAATACAAGCTTTGATCCTTTGACAGTCTGAAGTCTCTTTAACTGGCACAGCAGAACCAGCTCCAGTCCTTTGGCATCTGGATACATGATTAAATTAAAGCTGTAGAAACCTGCAGCCCATCTCTTATCCACCTGTTTACACTCTTCAGGTATCATGAATGGATGAAGCGTCCTGAGTTTCAGCATCTGACTGCCTCAGAGCCACCGACCCTGGAATAGGAGTACGACATGCAGCTGGAGGGAAGACGATGACAGTAAGACTTCTTCTGCAGTAAAAAACACAGAACATGCTCTTATTCATCCTCTAAAGCAGTTGTTATAAATGTGAAGGCTTGTCAGACTTAGCCTTAGATTTTTTCATGTGAATAACTGGACACCTTTATTTCTCTGAAAACTACCGAAATAAAACGGAGAGAAAAAAAAAATCTTTGGTTGAACCGATCATACCGCAGTGGCTGGAAAGATAAGTCTGAGAGAATGTCTTTCACTTTTGTTAATTTATTCTAAGTTACAGTAACCTACATAAATAAGCTAACACATTGTCCAAATAACAGAAGCTTATTTAATACAACTTATGATGGGATAAAGTGAAATATGATTCAGTGACATTTGCTTTAAGACTCATGTTTACCCTGCCGGTAAACATGAGTGTTTCTAAATAACTGGTAATCATTGGATATGATATGAAAATAAGACATCATTCTTTCTGAGGTCATGCACTAGTAAAATCATTCAACTTTTACTTAAAGAAAAGTTGTTTAATTTGACTTGTTTTTTTGTCAGAGTGCACATTCATCGTCTTGGATAAGCAGCAATGGGCAGATCCCAGTATAGAAGAAGAGCAGTGCATGGTGGGAGATGTCAACATGTTCCTGACAGACCCAACAGACCTCTCCTCAGCTGAGCTGGAGATTATGGTAACAGGTGATGCCCAGTGTGCTTATCTTAAAAGTGATTCCAAATCAAAGGCTGAGAAAATATCTACAGTCAGCCTATGCTGTGGTTTGTACATCTCAATCATTTCCTGTGTAAATCTCTTTATATCTGGACACTATATTCCGCTTGTTTTCTACAGAGCCCACTTACAGAGGCAAGGGCATTGAAAAGGAGGTGACACACATGATGATGGGCTACAGTGAGTAGTGATGGTCCTCTGACATGAGGCTCTGACACATGCACGGTAGCTAATGAAGCAGTTGTATTGAACCACTGTGGCGAGGCGTGGTTTGGTCACGTGACTAGTGACGTATGAACCACTTTACTGCTTCATTGGTTACCAAAACCCTGTCACTGGTTTGTTGTCTCAGATCATTTGAGGGGATCCAGCCCTCGACTTCTTCTCTTACATTTGTACATATTCTCACTCTTTAAGGTCCAAGGTCAATTTAAATCTTATGCCACTGAAAATCACTTATTGTGTGAATAATGTACAGATATTGAAAGCTAGTCAGTCTTGACCTAGACTGAGTAAGTGTCTGGACTGCTGACACATTTCGGTCTAGACAGGCTTGGTATCAGGGTGCTCTCTGCATGTACAGTGCCTTGCGAAAGTATTCGGCCCCCTTGAACTTTGCGACCTTTTGCCACATTTCAGGCTTCAAACATAAAGATATAAAACTGTAATTTTTTGTGAAGAATCAACAACAAGTGGGACACAATCATGAAGTGGAACGAAATTTATTGGATATTTCAAACTTTTTTAACAAATAAAAAAACTGAAAAATTGGGCGTGCAAAATTATTCAACCCCCTTAAGTTAATACGTTGTAGCGCCACCTTTTGCTGCGATTACAGCTGTAAGTCACTTGGGGTATGTCTCTATCAGTTTTGCACATCGAGAGACTGAAATTTTTGCCCATGCCTCCTTGCAAAACAGCTCGAGCTCAGTGAGGTTGGATGGAGAGCGTTTGTGAACAGCAGTTGTCAGTTCTTTCCACAGATTCTCGATTGGATTCAGGTCTGGACTTTGACTTGGCCATTCTAACACCTGGATATGTTTATTTGTATTTATTAGTCATTTAGGTCAACATTGGATCATTCAGAGATCCTCACTGAACTTCTGGAGAGAGTTTGCTGCACTGAAAGTAAAGGGGCTGAATAATTTTGCACGCCCAATTTTTCAGTTTTTTATTTGTTAAAAAAGTTTGAAATATCCAATAAATTTCGTTCCACTTCATGATTGTGTCCCACTTGTTGTTGATTCTTCACAAAAAATTACAGTTTTATATCTTTATGTTTGAAGCCTGAAATGTGGCAAAAGGTCGCAAAGTTCAAGGGGGCCGAATACTTTCGCAAGGCACTGTATATTGGTTTGTTAATGGGAGCTCATTCCAGTAATTTTGCTTTAACCCACCACTTCATCAGCTGACATGACCTCATTTCAGACAAGTCCTCTTGGGTAAACAGTCTTCATCCTTTGCATCATCCTGCATGCTAATGTTGCTGTATGCTATTTTATCACATTACACTGTATAAATACAATTCATAGCTAATGTGGACTTTGGTGTGTTTCCTCTTTTTTTGGTTCTGGATGTTTGGATAAGACAGAACAATGCTGTTTAGCACCAACATGTCTGGAAACCTCAGGTTTAGTCCTCTTCTAAAAGAACTGCTTGGCCGATGTCGCCACAAGGACACGGCTATAATCGGCTTTGTGGCTATAAACACATAGATGTTGACATTAGACAAGCAGCAGTTCCTCATGCCTGGAATATCAAGCTGATGAGTCTAAATATTTTCTCATTTAACCCAGTGGCATGGTGCCATGTTTCAGTTTTACATGCTGACGTTTTGCCTCAGAAACATACCTCCACTCCAGTACCACTGGAAGTAAATGGGGTTTCTCCACACAGCTGACAGCCTTGATTGGCACAGTATATTTGGGGAAGTGGGAGATCATCAACAGCTCTGCCTGTGGTCAGCTTGCTGTCCCCTCTTCATCCACTAAACCAGTACACAACCACAGTAAGCTTGCTAACACTGTGACAGGATGACAATCCTGTGAGCACCCACCCTGTCCCTTCACGAGTACTTGGAATCTGATTTAGTGTGAAATTCACCTCCTGGTTCTTGTCTCTGAAGTAGGCGGAAGACTGGAAACAAAAGAAGGACCCAAGACAACGGGTACAAGTTCAGTTTTTGGTCAGTAAGTTCCTGCAGTAGAGATGAAGTAATATCCCAGAGGGGAAAACCAGAAAGAATGTCTTTGTCCAGAAGAGTGTTTGGGCCCTTAACAGAGTGCAGGAACATACCAACCCACAACTGAACAGGTTTAGAGACAAATAGAGACTTAAGTGAGTTGATGCCGGGCAAAGCAATGAAGATGTCACATTTCTGCTTGATCAGCACCTCTTTGATAAACTGCTCATACAGTCTGCATTACTGGCAGTTTTTTGTGCACGTGAATTAATGAGCATCGTGGTTGGTGACTCAACATCTTCTGCTCACGTGTATGTGGGAGAGGAGCTCAGCACCATCCTTGTGTAAACAGTGACTGACAGGAAAAAAAATACAATAGAAAAGCAAAGTGGAACCAACAACGCAAGTCCTTCAAATTATGCTGAGTTAAAGGTATGGGAAGCTCCAGGTGGTTTTAAAGTTAGAAATCTCAGCACTTGGCCAAGAAAGAATTGCATTAATACTACTGAACACCTCTGAAGGTCACAGTGAGGTTCTGCTTTAGCACATATTTGTCTGAAAGCACTGAGCTTCTAAAATTCAGTACCAAATTCCTCACAGAGCTTGGTCCTGATCACCATGGCCAGGTGCTCCTGTACTCCTGCTCCACCCACGGTGTGCTGTAGCAGTTCTCTCCTATGGTCCGCAGCCAGCCGCACTGGCTTCTGTCCTTCTTTTTCTTCTCCTCTAACAGATGGTTATCCAGCATGCATCCTGCTGGACACTGGGGGGTGTCTATCACCCTAATTCTCTCTGCACCACATGCTTTAATAACCGTATCCAGGTACGTCTATATGCTGCTTTCCTTCTTGGATGTAGATAAAGGTGGAAGTGACAGATGCTGGGACCTGGGCGATAAGGCACAACAGCATATGGTGAATGAAAGGAATTAAAAAGATAAAAGGTAGAGGGAAAACATGTTGGCCAAAGTTAAACACAGTTTTACTGTATAACAACCCTATGTGTAACTGACATTCATTGCAGAAAGAAACTCAAACCTCAACATCTCCTCCTACATAAATGACAAAACCGATCATTAGTTTTCCAGACTGATGTTTCACTTGTTATCCACTGTCTGACAGTAGTTGGAGGGGTGTGTCTATGTCTGATTGACAGCAGAAGATCAACACTAATGTGGCTGTTTTTCATATTTGTACAGTACGTGAACATATTTTTTCTTTATGAATTTTGCCCTGCTTCAGAAGCAGGGTTTGGCTCCATTTCCCCCCATGACCATCCACGAGATAGTGCTATATATACAGGTGCATCTCAATAAATAAGAATATCGTGGAAAAGTCCATTTACTTCAGTAATTCAACTCAAATAGTGAAACTCGTGTATTATATAAATTCAGTACACACAGACTGAAGTAGTTTAAGGCATTGGATTTTTTAATTGTGATGATTTTGGCCCACATTTAACAAAAACCCACCAAATCACTATCTCAATAAATTAGAATATGGTGGCATACCACTCAGCTAGTCAACTCAAAACACCTGCAAAGGTGTCCTGAGCCTTCAAAATGGTCACTCAGTTTGGCTCACTAGGCTACACAATCATGGGGAAGACTGCTGATCTGACAGTTGTCCAGAAGACAATCATCAACACCCTTCATAAGGAGGGTAAGCCACAAACATTCATTGCCAAAGAAACTGGCTGTTCACAGAGTGCTGTATCCAAGCATGTTAACAGAAAGTTGAGTGGTAGGAAAAAGTGTGGAAGAAAAAGATGCACAACCAACCGAGAGAACCGCAGCCTTGAAAGGCTTGTCAAGCCAAATCAATTCAAGAATTTGGGTGAACTTCACAAGGAATGGACTGAGGCTGGGGTCAAGGCATCAAGGGCCACCACACACC